CCAATTAAAACACGCTCTCCCAAATTTAATCGGTGACAATATGATAGAATTTCTTCTTTTTGAATTCCATAAGTATTAACTATTTCCTTAGCCGCCCTAACAGCCACATCTTGTCCATGTTCATCTTTTCTACTTAATAGATCATACACAACTTCTTTCCAAACAACCATTATATCACTTGTAATAGGCCAATTTGCCTTTGACAAACATGAAATATAATGTGACATGTTATTTCTGATCCAAAATCAGTGAATAGATTTTTTGGTAAATTAATAATTAATTATATATGAAATTTCCTAATTGCATGAAAATGATTAATAAAACAATAAAATTTTGTTCAAAATCAACAATGATAACTAAACAAGTACCTCGATTAATTTTTTATGAATTTCAACCCAACTTCTATCATTTCCATTGATTTCTGACCATGCTAAAGATATTTCACCAGCAGCCAATAATCCACCATGTCTTGTGTGCATATCATGTGATAACACTTGTGGTATCTAGAAATGAGTTTATTATTATTATTATTATTATTATTATTATTATTATTATTATTATTAAAAAATACATATAAAATTCATAATTATCTAAAACCTACTAACAAGTGAAGCACATTATTGACCATATAATTAATATCAAGAAAAGCTGAATTGTATAATGCTTTTGAACATAATAGTTTTGTCCCAATTAGATATTGTAACTTTACTAAGATAGTTGATCAAATGGTATTGATATTTGGAAAACCTATATAAAAATTAGTTAATAAGTTTTGAAATTTTATAATATAAATCAGTTGACCACAATGTCAAGTTCTAACGACCTTTGCGATATAAGTGAAAAATGCGTCTTATGTTTGAATCTAGTTATATCCAAAATTTTAGATTATTTAGTAAAATAATTGCCAAGATGTCATACAAAATACTCAACCAAGTTAATTTTTGAAGATCTTGCAGAAAATTTACTACCTTATATTAATGAATTAAGAGAGGTGAATCATGGTGGTGATGTTGGTGGTGATGATGGTGGTCATGGTGGTCATGGTTATGGTCATAGTTGTGTGTTTATTTTTCAAGAAGATAATGCACCATGTCATAAAGCAGCTGTGGCAAATCAATGGAAAGAGGAAAATCGTGTTATACTTCTCCCTTGGCCTGCTCAAAGTCCAGACCTCAATCCTATTGAAAATTTATGGCAGGATTTAAAAAGAAGACTTAGAATGAGAAACCCAAAACCAAAAAATAAAATAGAACTATTCAATTTATTAAAAGAGGAATGGTTTAATACTATCCCGGTGAGAATTAATAGATTAATAGATAGTATGCCACAAAGAGTGGATGCTGTTTTAAAAAATAAAGGAAACCCGACAAGATATTGATTTTTTTTTAATAAAATACAATCAATTTAAAACAGTTTCATATATTTTTTGATGTCTTTTATGTTTCAAATTGGTGAGCAGTTTGAGGTTGAATTGTTTTGTAAAATTTTCTACGTTTTATTTTTTTCCTCATTAATTAATTTACCAAATGATCTAGAATTTTGGATAAAGCTAGATTCAAACATAAGACGCATTTTTTACTTATATCGCAAAGGTTGTTAGAACTTGACATTGTGGTCAATTTTCGAGTTAAAGAAAATTCCAAAAAATTCATTTTTATTTTTTAAGGTTTGTAAAACAACAAGTTGTTGCTTATGTGCAGCAAAACATAAGTATATTATACTATTTGATATGAAGATGAATTTTTACTTAATAAGCAAATGTGGTTAGGTTAATAAAATTTTTATTTTTTTTCATGTTTCTTTGTTCAATTATTTCTGATGATCTGCAAGTGTCCTTATATTTATGACCAGTGAGTGTATGTTCCATGAGAATAGGAGAATTGATGTTGTTTTTGTTTATTATTATTATTATTATTATTATTATTATTATTGATTTGAGCACAAAGTTTCTTCTTTTGTTTCATGACTGATTTGTTGTACTTTCTGTCTGTTTTGAGGACAAGACCAGACATGATTGAAATCTTCTTTTTCATTGTGGCAGAGAAGACAATCCAATGTTTATATAAATCTAGTCTTCTTTTTTAATATGCTCTAATGTTGGAATTTCTTCTAGCATAAATTTGACTTTGGAAGCTTTGCGATTGGAATTGGGGAAGGATGTTTCATTAGAAATTTCATCATTATTCAATGAAAAAAAAGTATTACTCCAGTCTATGTTGCATTCTCGATATTTTCTATTTCTATATAAGTTATACCATTTGCAAAACCTTTATTATATGAGGTATGTTTGATAAAATGTTGTAGATGAGTATCAATAATTATGTTTTTCCACTTTGGCTCATATTTAATATAGGAGGATGTAGTGATAAAGGAAAGAATGGGGAGATTTAAAGCATCTTTAGCAAGAGTATCCACTCTTTCATTATATATGTTTCTGGTATGTGCTTTTATCTTTCTAAATGATAATGTAATATTATTGATTCTGATAACATCATGTAATATTGACCAAAAGATGTGATTTTTTTCTTTAAATATACTACGAGGATATGTGTAGCATTGCTCCTTAAAAGATCTGTTAAATTGATCTATTGTTGATTTACTATCTGTGCAAATAGTAACCTTGGAGTCTTTAGGTGCAATTAATAAAGCAGCTGCTACAGCAGCCATTTCAGGTTGCTCTTTAATTTCATAATAGGAAATGTATGACTTTATAGAGATTTTTTCTATAAAAAGATAAGATCTTCAATAAAAAAATTTTTGAAAGAAAATTCCCAATTATTTAATTAATTAACAAATAATAAAAATATCAAAACAATTCACTATTCATTTGTAAAAAATAATCCATGGTTGATTGCTTCAAGCTATCTAAATGGAATTTAAATAATTGTGAATGAAATTTCCAAAAAGTAGACAAAGTATTTTGGTTGTAAGAAAAATTGGAGTTTTTTAGAAATGATAAAATGTTTTCTGAATATTCCAAAGCACTTTTTAACTGGTATAGAAGGTTCAGGTTCAATTCCTTCATCTTCATCTCCAGCAACTTCATTATTTTGTGAAGGATGTACTGTTTCAATAATTTCTGCATCAGAAAACTCTTCAGAAACTTCATTATCAATGTTTACAAATTCCATTGCTGAAATGGGTTCACTAAAATAGAGTTTATTTATTTCTTCTTGTACAGTGCGTAACATCATAAGCCATCAAATTACTGCGCCAATGTATCAAATTCAAGAAAAATTTTCAATTTTTTTTT